AAACTTTATTGATCTCCCATTGGAGGACTTAACTCATCATTTGAGTTACTAATCCTATGAGTGAGTGGCTCCTTTGAGTGCCACTGTGCAGTGCCGGGGAGGAATCGGGGGTTAAGGGTCTTGCTCAGAGACTAAGAGTGGCAGGCTGTGGGAGTGGGTTTCAAACTCACAAGCTCAGGATCCAATTGCTATGCCCTAAGCAGTAGGCTGCCACTCCCCACAATAAGATGGTTACAAATGTGTAGTCTTAGATATCATAATTTAATCCTCAAACAAAGCTTTATGTCTTGAACGGGGTACTCAGGATTTTATCAGACTTAAACGCACACTTGCAGCAAACCTTGTTATTTTCAAACATTTTTAATTGTTGTAGCTCCTACCAATTGAACCTAGCTCATTTTCCTTCACCTTTTGATTGGTTGACAGCAAGAACACTATGCAAGGTAGGAAAGGAGGTCCGAACAGCAGCACTGAATCATGACAGCTCTCAGCCTTACGGATGTCATTACACGGCATGTGTCACATATAGTTCATATTACTAAATAATATTGGATTTTTGTTAAACTTTGTGAGGTGGGCTGTGCCTATACATTCTGTCATGCAAAGAATTATGACGAACATCAGGAGGTCCCTGGCAACAGGAAGCATACTGTTTCCAGGTCCTAGCTTCTTCCTAGGGCCTCCCGCGTGGCAGGCGAGAATTCTACCACTGAACCACCAACCACCAACTGAACCACCAACCACCTGGCTGGCTCGCCAATTTATGGAAGCTCATTGGTAGAATTCCCTTATGACAGAAAGAAGGCCACGATTCACACCATTTTATCATCCTGAGGGGGGGAAAACATTTAATTACAAAACCGAATTCATGCAGCTGTCTTAAACAGTTCATACATCCAGCAATGCATCATCACAATTAAGTTATCCCCCGAAACACTCATGTCTTCTCAGTTGTTTTATAGTCTCAACATCGCATTACGTAACTGCACATGCACAGGAATATCATGTCGAAAGACACCAGCGGTTGATTTGACACTCGGAGGAATGTTTATACAGATGTTCTTTGTTTATGCCAAACCTCCTCATACATCATCTAATTCCGTACGAATAAGGCATTAGGGACTTTATTATTTGTAAGACTCATACTTGACCTTTAGCATGTACTGTTTTGTTGCTAACTAAGTATAGGGCCTCGTGTAAGGATATATAAGACAATAAAACTGCTTCTACATTGCTACTAATGATGATGGTGCACTTCTGCTGTGGCTTAAGTGTGATAACTGACTTGAGGTATTCTGATTAAGACAAGGTAAATCTGAATATGTATGAACCATATGGAGCAACATTGAGACTATAAAGTTTGTTCAAAAACAGTTTTTTTTTATATATAAAAAACGTAATTTCAATCTGGAAAAAAGAATTAATTATGACCGTACCTTAGATCAGAAGTAGCCACTATAGTCCAACCGATTATTATTTATAAAGTGCCAATTCACAACATATGTAATCTCAAGGCACTTTAGAGAGACAGTCATATTTACGAGAACTAGTTGGAATGATTTGTTGGAAGAGACGGATGGAATGTTATAGGATTTATAACTTATAACAACCTGGGCTATTTTATATCTCATGTAACAAAGGATCACTTTCCCTTCCTTGTTTCCCCAACAGCCTATGCCCAGCACATTAAAGAGCTGCAACATCTGATCAACCCGTCACGCCCACAGTGAGTGTCCTCATTATTTACATTATTACATTTCAGAGTATATTGAACGAATTAATAAACAGGTATAGTGTTTTAAAAACATTTCTTTAATAAAAACAGTATCAAGCTTTGTAAACATGGACAATGCCTAAAACTAGTCAGGCTCATCTCCATGCATAGCTGGTCTCTGGAACCCAACTCTTTGAGAGGGGTTGGACTCTCTTCTACTCTAGAGAGGCCCAGGGGGAGAGGTAGACAGTTGGGATGGGGTTGCATCCCTTGAGCTCAGCTGTCTGGTGTTAGAGTTCAGTCTGGTGGATGAGAGATTCGGATTGTTTGGCCTTCGGTTAGTGGGGAGGTCTCTGCATGTTGTCTTGGCCTATAGGTTGAATGTTGGATATCTCCCCGCTTGGGACTTCCATCATTATTCCAGGTTATTTTATTGTCCATGTGGGAACAAACACTGACACCTGGAGGGGTTGTGATCGGTAGGAACAGA